ATATATATATATATATATATATATATATATATGACACACATTATTCTCAAAGTCATCACGTCACAATGCTAAAAGCCTGTTTGCCAGGGAACTGGAACGTCAGAGCAAGTGTGATGCTCTTTTTATTCCTAGTACTGAACCGACAGACATCCAATACCGCGAAGTTGTTTTAGAGCCCTGCGTTGCAGAAAGTTTGAAATCAGCAACACGGACCTTAGCCATGGATCGCCTTGCAGCTGCGTCACACACTCCAGAATTTGTGCAGCGGCCGCTGTGGGATCTGTCAAGGTAATGTCTGTCAGTAGGAAAGTTGTGACGTTCCCAACGCCACGCAGTCCCTGGTACTGAGCTCTTGCCCGCAAGTTCTCCTGTGGAAATCCGAAGCTCTTAGACACCATTGGCGACATTCGTCCGCTCATCATCCGTAAATTCTCCTGTTCTTTTTAGATGGCATATTGCATTTGGGATAATTTGCCGGAAATAGTATTCACACATACAGATAAAATTCAAACCTGTTTTTCAACAATTTTATCGCCGATCCTCAGAGTGATTATGCGTAAATTTAACTGTTAAAATGTGTACATGTATATATGCTACTCACTATTGTATAGTAGTACATTTATTTTATATATTATATGTTGGCCATACTTGCACACCGTTTTTGTTGGGAATGCGTCCATTCCCACGATGAGTCACAGCATAGAAAGGCGTTGGAGCTCAATAATCATGCCATAGGAATGAGAGCGCGCACCCTAGATATCGATTTTTCGTCATAGAGGATTGGTTCAGTGTCGAAAACGCGCCCGCATCAAGCTGACTGAATAAATACCCCGCAGCCTTTTGTGAGAATGACTTGCTTGACTTGCACTTTACTGCGTTCATGTGTTCTATGTGAATACACTTCGCCTCCTGGCCGATTGACTTCTCTTCATTCTCTTTGCTGACGTTCGGGACGATAGTTGGGCTGGCTCAGAGTTCGTGCTAATTACAGTAGGTTCACTAACTCATGAAATCCAAGGATTTTTACAAGTAACTCCCTGTTACTCAAACGCAACCGAATCTGCGGCCCCAAAAGTCTTACAACAATAAACTAATGGTCGTTCTTCACAATAGGGCATGTTGTGCTTTCTAGAGGAATATAACG